ACTGGTAGAGTAACATTAGATCGCCTTTTTAAGGAAATAAAGAGGATAATAATTCTAATGACGAATTGGTGAAATGAAGAATACTCAAATAGGGAAGACATCTAATAGACAATCTGTTTGGAGCAAAACTTTGATACATTTTAGCTTGCAATGAGATAATATTTAGGCGTGCTGTTAGAAGACAACTAGTTATTTTACTTCCATTTTATGATATTGTGATGGATAAAATTAACAATATAAAGAATTGTCGCTACTGATCGTAGAAAAGTGATAGAAATTTACACTAAACACCTAGGTTCTTTCATTATCAATGGAAATCATGCTGGCATTTAGACTTAATACGAGGACAAGTTATTCTATCTTTTAGCATTCTATTTTCGAACAATTAGGATGTTGAGGAACTTATAGGTAATAATGTGAGTCCTGATGTCTGGTTCCAACAGGACGGTGCACTAGCTCATTTTCAATACAATGTTCGAAGAAAGGAAACTGTAAAATGGCTACCACGATCTCGCTTTGACGCAGACTTTGAGTAAAAAGCCGTTTTAGGAATAATATGACATATTATGACATTATTATCTTCTTCTTATTTAGAAATCAGAATCACTATTGTTAATTTGGATAAGTTGAGAGATGATATTAATCTATTGACTAAAACTATTCAGAAATCATTACCTTTCAATGTTTTCACTTGCTTTATGGATGATATAAACTTCTATTATAACCGGGAATTTAATAGGGTGAAGAGGGTTAATTTAAAGAAGTTTCAAGATTTGATGAATTTCAACAAGAACAAGTTAAATATTTTCTGTTGCAATGATGACTGGATCATTAATCTTTCATCGGTAACGATTCCAGTGGATGTACAAATTTTTTTGTCACTCGGTTCCAAATTTGCCTTACCCTTAAACAAAGCAAACTTTAATCTTAGTAGAGTTCTGATGGATGTTGAGAGCATTCTATCAGTTTGTTCCGAAAATTTACGGGATATTCTTAGAGCTAAAATCATTAATGTGATTACTAATTTTATTAATAGTGATATAAGTTGTACTTGGCTTGAAAACCACCTTTTAAACCTTTTGAAGAAAACTAAATCCTTTCTGAAAAGAAATACTAATTTAATAATTATCAATGCTGATAAAGGAGCAAAAACTGTAATTTTGGATAAGGATGTGTATTTAAATAAAGCCAACGAAATGCTTCAAGACCAAACCACCTATGCAAAAATAACTAAATATCCTGTAGACACCATACAAAGAAAGTTAAATAATTTAATTAAAAAACTTTATGATGAAAAATCCATAAATGAACATGAACACAAACTTATATGTACCAAACATTCAGTCTTATGTAAAGCATACTTCCTCCCTAAGGTCCATAAACCCAATATTCCATTAAGACCCATTATATCCGCTTGTGGTTCAACCGTGTATAACCTGTCAAAGTTCTTATCTGACATGCTAACCACTGCCTTAAGTAATGCTACATCTTACAATGTAAAAGACACCTTCGATTTTGTCAGTCAAGTAAAAGGCTGTCACATCCCTAAGAACTTTGTTGTCGTTTCACTTGACGTAATAAGTCTTTTTACGAACATCCCACTGGATTTGGTCCTTAATATTGTGAAAGACAAGTGGAATTTAATTGATGATCATTGCAGTTTTAATTTGGAAACCTTTTGTATACTTTTAAAGTTTGTTTTTGACAATACTTACTTTTCGTTTCAAGATCAGATTTATGTTGAGAAGTTTGGTACTTCTATGGGTTCTCCTATTAGCCCCATCTTGGCGCTGATGGTAATGGATTTTGTTTTGGATAGTGTGATTCCCAAATTGGACTTTCAGTTACCGTTTATAAAGAAGTTTGTTGATGACATTATCACCAGCGTTCCTAGTGATCGTGTTGACTACGTTCTTGATGTTTTCAACTCATTTAACCCTTACATCCAGTTCACTGTGGAAACTGAATCTGATAGCTGGGTCCCTTTTCTCGATTGTGGTCATACGTGAGAACAATTCTGTGATTTGTGATTGGTACACCAAACCGACATATTCGGGACGTTACATAAACTATTTCTCCTCGCATTCATTTAACCATAAAATTAATACCTTACGTGGTATGAAGAATAGAGTACTAAGAATTTGTGATGACAGGTTTCAATACAACGCACTGTTAAAGCTAAAAAGGATTTTTATTGGCAACAGTTTTCCTAAGCACTTAGTTAACAAGATTCTTTTCTCTTCTTCCAATAACATCTCTCAACCAACTGTTAACAGTATGTTGGATATACCACCTACCAGACAATCTAAATTTAGTAAAATTATGAAAATCCCAAAGATGTCTGATAAAATTAAAAAAATAATTGGACCTCATCTACCACCTGATAGAAAAATAGTTGATTACTACCCTTACAGGATAGGTTGTTGTTATAGTAGCATCAAAGATAAAGATCCCGTGATGTACAAATCTAATGTCATCTATCGTGTTAATTGTAATGAGTGTAATGGTTGTTACATTGGTGTCACCCGTCAATGGCTAAAAAACAGGATTAGTTCACATAGGAGTGATTTTAAAACGAAAAAAACTCACTGTGCTTTGGCCAGTCATATGATAAACTGTAACCATACTTTTGATTTTGATAATGTGTCGATAGTTGATGGTGATCCTAATTATTACGGTAGATTATTTTTGGAAATGTACCACATTAATATCACTGATAATACGGTGAATTTTAAAACAGATACAAATAATTTAAGTAGTTTTTACTCGTATTTATTTCATTGGGAAAAGGGGAGAAGGGAAAGAGTATTAAGTGACAACACCAACGTTAGTGATTCATTAATTTTTTAATTAAAAAATTAAAATTTAAAATATGTTCTTCGACTGTATCGTTGTGATTTTGTCTATCGCGCAGTCTCTAAAAATAAAAATATATTTTTAAGAACTGGTTTCTTCGCCATGTTCAGTCATCATAAGATTTTTACTTTTGTAACGTCAGTTATTTTAGTTTGTATTTTAAGTGTCCTAATTTTAATTTATTAATTCGAGTCACCCTTTTTGGGTTTTAATGATGCTATGTTTCTTGGTGGACCGTTGAAATGTTCCGCAATCGTGCCGCTTATCAACTAACCTGTAAGTTTCTTCCTTTTTATGTAAGCCATTGATAGTTTGAATGTTAATTTTGATACATTTGTTCACAGTTTTTTGCCTGTAGAAGAAACAATTTGTTTCGAAATATAGCAAAGAAAAATTTAGTTCTCTTTTTTTTTTCTTATACCGATCGCTACACCCAATAACCTTATCATAATTATTATCTTCTTCTTCATCTCTTTCTAGACTGTTAGGTGTGTTGCTCCTAATAAGATCTGTAACTGAAATATCTCCTTAGAAGTTTACTGCCAGCTGTTTGGTCTCCTTTTTGGTTGTTTGCCTGGTAGTCTGATTCCGGGTGGGTTATTTGTAAACACAATTTTCGGCAGTCTCTTATCTGGTATTCTGGGGACGCGGTTTTGCCAAAATCTCTTGCACTGTGTTCTATATCTCTCAATGACGTTCTAGTCTTTCCTGAGATTCTCACTTCTGCACTCTTCATATGCTTAGTTTCATTGGTATGGTCGCGTATTTAAATGTAGTAAGTTATTATTGTATGCATGTAGATCTTGTATGTACCCACTTTATCGTACCTCGTAAACAGCCTGAAATTATGAATATTTTGTTGACCTGACTTCTCAGGTGCTTTACGAGATTGTGAGTACACCCAAATAAGAAAATGCCGTGAGTTATTCGCTAGAGTTGTTGTTGACTACCAGCATATGCCTTGTTCGTTCCCTTGCTCCCACCATGCATTTAGTTTTTGAAGTAGAATAAACTATATTCAAGGTTTCACTCACTTGATAGAACCTGTATAGTTGCCTTTGCATGTCATGTGTTGGCGATTATCGCAGTGTCCTATACTGTACAGATTTTTTTTTGGCTCATTTTATATCATAGGGTTAAAGTGATCACTTCCCCGATTATTTTGTTCATTAATAAGTTGAACAAATGTGGGCTGATACCTTGTGGGATGTCACCTGGTGTGGAGATGTCTTCGGTTAGTTCTTCTCTGGCTCTTATTTTAGTCGTGTTGTTAGTGTTTCATTTATGTATTGTATTTATGATGTCAGCTGGTGTACCTCGTTATGTTAGGAGGTTCCGTAAGCAGGTGTGTGAAATATAATAGATTTTTCTTTTAGTTGTTTCATAACGATTTCAGCGTCCATTACTGAGGGACATTTTCGAAAGCCTTGTTGTTCTTCGGAATTTCTAATAAGATTTTCCAGCTTATTTTCTGTTACATTTCTAAACAACTTCATTAATCTTTCTGTAATCTTGTAGACCACTTTTTCCTTATACATATAGGAATGTTAGAGTAATTCGGTATAATAACAGGTTGGATAAAAAAACATTTTCTGTGCTCTTTCCCACATAGGTTAGAAGCATTAGATTTGTCAAATTTTGTACTCTGTAATGTTTTCGTTTTATTTGAGGAGTCAGAAAACAGGATTAATCTTTTATACCTTAACCTTTTTATCTTAATCTTTTTATACCTGGAGTAATACGAATTGGTGAAACATTAAAAATTGGTTTATGTACTATTTCTTAGGTAAGATAAAAAAAAGTCCTTTTAAACGTTTCTTTCTCATACAATATTGTTGTGGAATATAATTCATGCCCTTCAAATTCCAACCCTTTGTACGTGATACTATTGTTAACGCCTCGCTTTCAATATTGAAGCTGTTTGGAATTAGCTTTTACCAGTAAAACCGTAAACTGAAGCAAATATCAAATCAAACATTACATAACTTGAATTATTCTAAAAATATTAAAAGAATAATTTTTTTTGTAAAACATTATATTATACTTGTATTTAAACGTAAAATAAAATAAAAATTTGTTCCTTATCTAATTAATTTTTTTAATTATTTTCAAATTAAAACTGATTTAGTATTTTTTGTTGTTAGGTCCAAGATGGGCATCTTGGAATTTGGGAGTATTCCTTTGTATAAGATGCGCAGGAATTCACCGAAATCTCGGAGTACACATATCCAAAGTAAAATCGGTAAACTTAGATGCATGGACACCAGAACAAGTTGTTTCACTACAACAAATGGGAAACTCTCGAGCTCGTGCAGTTTACGAAGCAAACATTCCGGATAATTTCCGTAGACCACAAAACGACACGAGTCTTGAAACGTTTATTAGAGCTAAATATGAACATAAAAAATATATAGCTAAAGAGTGGGTGCCGCCAGCGTTACCTAAAGTAAATTGGGAAAAGGATATCGAAGAGGAATTGGAACGACAGAAACGTAAAAAGAAATCGTTGGTGGAAAAGAAGAGTTTGGGAACGGTTGAAGTTCCACAATTGCCAAAACCGAAAAATCCAAGTCCGAAACCGGTGAGAGCTGTTGGAACTGTTGTTGCGACTACTAATGAAGATAAACAAGTGACTGATTTGTTGGCTTTGCAAAATGGTGAGGATGGGTTTAGTAATTTTTTATCAGCTCCGCCTAAGGAAGAAATTAAAAAAGACGAAAATAAAGAATTAGTTAAAGAAAAAGATGCGGGAAAAAGCGAAGAGGAGAGTTTCTTTAATCAACCAGCACCGACGGAAAAAGAAAAAGCAAAAATGACTAAAGATAGTATTTTAGCTCTATATGGAAGCGCGCCAGCCATTAATAACTTTAACCCAACTTATTCAAATCCTTATAATAATTTTCCTGCGCAACAGAATTTTCAAAATTTTAACTTTCCAACGCAACAGCAATCTTTTCCGGTACAAAATGGTAGCCAACAATTCCAGCAACAATCGGTTTCGATTCCGACACATCCAAATCAATTCCAAATTAATCCAAATCAATCGTCGCAATTTCAACCGCAATTTAATCAATTTCAACCTGCCCAAGGTGTCTCTTTACCCAATCAGTATCAATATCAAAATCAACAATTTCAACAACAACAAACTAACGTAACACCACAATATCAAGGTATCCCAAATCAGTACAATTCAATGTTATATCAGCCGCAAACTTTTGGTACAAAACCATCGTCTGTTCCAAATCCCTTTTTTGGCAATCAAACGGGACTTCAACAACAGTTTAGTAATTTGTCGTTGAGTCAACCAAATACAAATACAGCACCAACACTTGCCAGTAATATATGGCAGTGATTCGTTTTATTTTAAAGAAGGAATACGAAAATATATGTGTTCTTAAGAATACATGCTCAGTTTTTTGAGTGTCCTATTCTGTACAAATTAAAATCATTTTTCTGGATTTTAGTTTTTCTCAAAAAATGGTTTTTTGTGTGCAATAGAAAATTTACGTTACAAAAATACAACACAGGGTGGTTATAGTAAATTAAATTATTACTTTTAGATATTTTTAACAATTTTTTCTAACCCTTTAACATACAACTTTGTGATACAAAAAATATTTGAAAATCAGATTTTGTACTTTTTAACTCAGTTTTGTGGCACTCCAAAATTTCAGTTTCGTTAATTTTCTTAGATTGCCATCTTGGCCCCTTTAATATGAGGTTGGTCTCAATCTACAATAGATTTTAGAATTGTACAATTACGTATTATATAAAAGCTTTATCACTTTATCTGGTTAAGCATAGTTCTGGAACTAAACCAACTTTTTGTGCGTGTCGATTCTTGACAATTTCTGTTTCTTCATTGACTCTGGAAACATTTTATAAATTTTTTTTTAGGAATATATAATTTTGTTATTGATATTAAGATATAAATAATAAATCAAATAAAATTAAATAGTCAAGTATTTTATATACCTAATATAAATAAAATAAACAAGTAGATACATTTATTTATTATGAGTATATTTAAAGTAACACCTTTTTCAGTGTGCTCCTTAATTTGTTAAAATGTAAAGTTCATTAGGTTATAGAAGGGATTATATTTTAATATCAAAATTAATAAGTCCTCAAGTTTTATTACATCTTTATTTCATCATAATAAAAGACAAACAAATTTCTAACAACTAACAAATTTACTGAGTTGCCTTTATAGGAGGAACATATAAAATTTTTGTATAATATATAAAAAATCTTTTTCGATTTTAATTTATTATCAAATTATAGTGTAATCAAAAAAATTAATTAATGCTACACTTAATTACACGTTGATTATTTTCTTTTTATTCACCTCCATAATTTTAATACATATAATTAGTGCCTCTTGAGTGTTAAGTTTTACTTTGTACATCTCATTTCTTAACATTCCCATGAACTAGTGTAGTGGTGTTTGGTTTAGCAACTTTGGATAATGTTTCAGCTAAATGTTTTAGCTGATGTGTGAAAGATGTAAAAAGATAAACGTGTAAGAACTCCACCGTCCTGATAATTCTTTAAGAGTTCTTATTTATTTTGTAAAACTGTAAACAGTGCTCCCTTTTAAACAAATTCCCACAATAAGACACAATACAAATTATAATATGTTTAAAAATTAATTATGTGTAATCTATAAAAATTTGTATGTTAAAGGGTTAATTAATATCTAAAGAAAATCGATAAAACGTTTGAAGAAAAAAAATCTAATAAAATAAAATATAAGAAAAAAAGATAAATAAATGTTTAAAAAATCCAGAAACTAGTAGATATAATAAACATTCTATATATTTTCGATTAAAGAAAAAAAAATTTAAAGAAGCGAAACTAAACATAAAATAGGACAGTGATATTATTTTGAATTTTTAACCTTTAAATTATAATTATTAATTATTTAATTGTTCCTGATAAAATAAAACGAAACGTCTTTACGTATAATTAATTTTATAGTTCTTATTAATTAAATTTTAGATGAATCTAAAAGAGAAAAAACGGAAAAATAACTCTCCTGGGTATGATGCAATACGTCTTAATTGAAAGATTAAAATTAAAATCTATTGATAATTTTTATGAAAAAGAAACTGACCTCGTTCATTACTGTCATTTCACCTAACAATAATTACAATAATAATTTTTTACTGTTACAAAAAAAGGTTCTACATACTTGCACGTTAACTCGATAATTGGGACAGAAAAAAAGGACTTTTGATGGTCTTTTTTGGTATCATCGTCCTTCTAATATTGTCGAGATTACGATGTTCTTTTAGGAAGATTCAATGTTTTACTTGGAATATATTTAGAATAAGACAAGCTACGTTTGTGTGATTTGTCTGATTCTTTATATTACGCTTCTATATGTTGTAAATTTATATTATGATACACAATATACAGGTATTAAAATTGAAAACAGTTACTTTTTATTAACACTTTAACCTATATATAGAATTTAAAATATCCTAGAAAATGAAATGAAAATGATGATGAAAATGAATCCTATAAATTAAACAGAAGATTGAGAGTAGGCAAAGAGAGGTTACATTTAATTTAGAGATATAGATTTATCTATATATCGCATTAATTTTGCTCTCTACTTTATATCATGTTTATATTTGATATATTCTTGAAACAATACAAAGCAGTGGAATTTCTAATTTCAGCATAACTAGAGAAGTTCGACATTGACATCATCGCGCTTGAAGGTAGAGTGCATGCTCAGCATCCATAAAATCATGAATATGATCCAAGCCTACACCCCAACTAGCGAAAAAAGTGAAGATGAGATTGAGAAATTTTACTTGATCTTAGAAGTCATGAAGTTCGACGTCATTGACTTGAAAATGCAACGAAAAAGGAGCAATTTTGCACAACGCATGATCTATCTGCCACAAACACTTTTTTCAAACAGCATCCCCGACGACTTTATATATGGATATCTGCGGACGACAGAAATGATCATATTATCAGAAATTACATAGATTTTGCCCTTATCAAAACCGTCTAATGAAGTATGTATATAACAGCAGCGACAACACGCCCCAGCGGTGACATCAGAAACGACCACAACCTAGTCGTGATAAATTTACGGCCCCGCCACTTCAGTAGAGCCAATCCAGAGATACGAATTCATGTAATCGAAGTCTACAATCAGCGGTGATACAGATGTGGAACGTAGATGAGATGCCATAAAGAAGGCTCGACTACCACGCAACATATTGATATTGGATTTGCACATACTTCCAAAAAACTCTAGTGGATGACAGATCAAATTCTACCGCTTATGGCAGAGCAAAAAAAAAGTCTAGGGAGAACAGCCGATAAGAGAGCTGAATAGGATGGTGAGAGTAGAATGCCGAAAATCGCATTCTATCTATAATCTGCAAATTGTCTTTTGTGGTTGAATCGGCCTTCATTTCTAAAAACTTTTCTGGAATTGTAAAACATCAACAACAAATGGGTTTCTGGCCATGTGCCATATTGGTGAATCGAAATTAATTTGTCGGAAGTAACGATGAAATTCGACTTTTAGCGCTTCCAAATGAGTTTCTATTTCAGTATTAAAATAATCGCCAGTTTTTTACTTTATATAACATTTTCAGTAGACACCTTTTGATTCCAAGTTGGAGTTGGTCATAGTTATTTATTAAAGTGCCGTTTTTGCCATGAAGCTTCAAGTTTTATTAAGGTTCATTTTTTTCTTTAAACTCAAGAAAAAGGATGTCTTCTTTTAAAACATAAAAACAAGCCAACATGTTGCCTTTAGATAACCAGTGTACTAGTGAAATAGGATACTGTGATCAGAATCGACACCCTCACAAAGTAAATAATCGATATGTTCAAAACGCTGTTCTTGATGTCGTTTACGATCTTTATAGCTGACTTCAAAGTTTGGCATAATTTCTGTGGCAATGTTTTGAACTAAACAAGCCCGATCGTGAACTTATCATTGCAGGGGCGCCATGCGTAAAAAGTCCACTGAGTTTTTTCCTATCTAAACCATTTTCATTTTTCGATAAAATCAGATATTGCATTGAATATGGTTTCAGATTTAGTGCGTACTGTCAAAGAATGGAAGTGCAAAATCTCTTCTTCAATGTGATTTCCGTTGATGTAACGTACATAAACTGTTAATTGTGTATGTACAATAAACGATATCGGTGAATTCGTCGCAATTAATGGCGATAATTTGTTGTTATAACTTTGTTAATTATTTGTGACTTTATGTCTGCTGAAATATCATCGATTCTTCGCATGACTCTGTTATTTGAAAGAAAAATCGACTACATATTTTGCTCAGAAGATTATCTGAGCGGCTTTTAGGATACATGGTTCGACAAATTTCTCACCTATAATATCGTCCTATTACTGCCAAAACTCACTAAGTGACATTTTGATATTTTGGAGAAAAACCACTTCTAAAGATTATTGATAGCTTGTAAATCAGTATTCAAAAGTAATATTTTATTTCTTATATTTTGAATTATGTTATGTTGTTAAGTATAAGTTTATAATCTTATAGCAATTTCAAAAAGTCCTATAGGAACAAAAACTAAAAAAAATGTAGTTAGTTAATTTTAGCAATTAAAATAATAAGCACATTTGCAGTAATAAATCATTATATTATATTAAGCATACAAAAGCAACGTAAAATAAACACAATCTAATTAACAAAAACGAAATATGATACAGAACAAAAAAGAATATGTAGTTTTATTGATCTTCTTCAGATTCATCGTCCTCTTCACCTATTGCTGGTTCAGTGGTTGTCTCTTTTAGTTTGTTATCTACAGGTAGAGGTTCATACCACGGGTGTAGTTCCTGCGGTATAATTCCTTTACGACAAAGATTTAGCAGATCATTTTTTTTCTGCGTACTGATAGGAATTAGCTTATTGTATGCTTTTCTAATACTAGTCTGGCTTATGTTTGGATTTCTTCTTTGGCCAAGTATACTCAGTGTATTGTAGGGACCACAGTGGCCGTACCGGAACTTGATTGTGCCAGGGTTTTGTTTTTCATAACGTAAACATTTAATCCGCAACCAATTAACTTAATTCCCATCTTCGTCTTTGACACGATTTTTTATAATTCTTTTAGATCCATGATATCAGTAAATGTAAATTGGTGTTCATTATAGGGACATACAGTTGCCCGGTTTCTGGCCAATCTTGCTCCTCTCATAATGTTCGTCCAGTCAAATACTGAATAGACAGGTACAAAACATTGTTCTTTTTCGATAGCACTATGCATACTATCTACCTGCATAAACGAATGACCTGACTCTAAAAATTTTTGCTCTATAACGTTTAAATGAGTAGTTTGAGTAAGGTAGAGGAATAATGTCGCGAGATATTGGTTACGGTTTTGTCCGCCACAG